CAAGTCCAAAGACAAAATTTTACAGATTTCAAGATGGCAACCCTTCTAATTTCAAGATGGGACCCTTCTGAGCATGAGACCCTTTGTGACCAGGTATTGGCAGGTCATGAAGCTGGCTCTGCCTGGAATGGCTTTTGGTTAACCAGACACAGAGTTTGGTCGGTTGGAGGCTGGTGGCTTTCCCCAATCGCTGCCAGTCTCTGGCCTGTTCTTAGCTGTCCTGGTTCTTGCATTCTCAAACTGACTTGGGCTCAGGACTATCACAGCATGGGCTGCCTTCAGACAGGCACTGAGACAGGCACCAGTGATGTGGCTGCTTCTCTCAGTGCGGCCATGCTCCAGCCGTGCAATCCTGGGCAAGGTACTTACCCTCTCTAAGATTCTATTTCCTCATTGCAAAATGAGAATGGTTTTGACTGCCTTGAAGGGTTGTTGTGAGGACTAATTGATAAAATACACACAAAGTCCTTAGCTCAAGGCTTGGCCCAGAGTAACTTTTTAGTAAACGCTAGCTAAACATGCCATCTTGGATGTATTTTACAGTTTCCTTTATATGGAAATCTTTATCCCTTCAAATAAGATAATGAAGAGACCTGGTGAAGATTCATCTTAGAGGGGACAGAAACTTCCCTGTGGGACCATAGCTAGAGGTTTAACCATAAAATGGGCTTCAGCAGCATCGCTACCAATGTTGCTGTTAACTCGGTTAAGAAAAGTTTCATTAAAAAAATAAATGGGAAAAGACCACTCTGAGTAGTGTGTGCAGAATCCAGACTGGAGTGCAGAGGCATGGTCACAGCTCACCTCAGCCTTGACCTCAGGGTTCAGGTGATCCTCCCGACTCAGCCTCCCAAGTGGCTAGGACTACATGTGCTTACCACCATGCCCTGCTAATTTTTTGTAGAGATGATGTCCTGCTGTGTTGCTCAGGTTTGTCTTGAACTCCTGAACTCAAGCAATCCTCCAGCCTCGGCCTCCTAAAGTGCTAGGATTAGAGGTGTGAGACTCCACATCTGGCTGGGATATATTTTTGAGTCACAGGCTGACCCTTTTTCTGTTCCCTCACTAGCTTCCTCTAAGGTCACTGCCCATCTACGAATTCACTAAACCAGAATCACTCAGAGTGGATGTTCGGGGTTCCCCAGAGGCTGGCACCAGAATCACAAATGCAGGATCCTGGACCTAATGCCAAATCTTCAAATTGAAATTCCTGGGGAAGTCAGACCCAAAAAACTGCCTTTAATAAATTGCCCAGGTGCTTTTTACTTTCTCCATTAAGTTTGAGAACTTCTGTGGGAGCTCAGGAGCTGGGAAGAAAAAGACCTTTTTCAACTTTTCATTCCTCAGCACTGGATGGATATGTCAACATTTGTTGAATGCTGGAGAAATGACTGAACCCAAAGTACAGGGTTAACGAATTTCTTCCCAAATGAGGCCCTTTTGGATGGTTCTGTTCAGGCCTAATACTCAGTGGGTATGTTCTAAGTAAGGCTGTACATTTCTTCAAATATTAAATTTCGGCTGGGCTCAGTGGCTCAGCCTGTAATCCCCACTTTGGGAGGCCGAGGTAAGAGGATTGCCTGAGTCAGGGGGTTCGAGACCAGCCCAGGCAATTTGGCAAGACCTCATCTCTACAATAAATAAAAAATTAGCCGAGCATGGTAATGTGTGCCTGTAGTTCTGGCTACTTGGAAGGCTGAGGTGGAAGGATTGCCAGAGACTAGCAGGTCGATGCTGGGGTGGCTGTGAGTGTGCCACTGCACTCCAGCCTGGGCGACAGTTTGAGACTCCAACTCAAAAATAATAATAATAATTAAAATGTTTCCACTGAGGTTGGTAAATATGTGGTGCTTCTCCACACTGGCCCAGATGTCCAGTCCTTTCCCTTCCACTACCCCATAATTCAGCAATGAAGGGATTAATCCCTGGCCTAGCAGGAGATCTCATCTGTTCTCATGGGTCAGTGTCAGTGCCAGTAGGTACCTCATAGGTCCAAATTCCCAGGCACCACCAATGGTACCTCAAAGGCTGGCAGTGTCCTGCCTGTGGCCCTACCCTGTGGAAGGGGTGGGATCGGGGTGGGGAGGATCTTGGGTGAGTGGTGCCCCAGCCAGTTTACATTGGTTCTGGTTCTTGGTTCCTGTCTCCACATGTCCTGCAGGCCATGATGGATGGAGACTTGGTGGGTAAGATGGCATTCCTGGTAGTGGGGCTGCCTCCCCCAGAGGGCAAATACTCCAGGTCATAGCCACCACTGAGGGACCCCTAGAGATCCTCTTGCATGGCTGCTCCTGGGACCAGCAGCCTCCATGAAACTTTGACCTTGAGAAATCTTGGAGCATGAGGCAGGAATGTGAATCTACAAACATGAGGGCTCTTCTGTACCAGATGACAGATGACAGGCTGCACAGCACTGAAGATGTGTGTGGAGGGCAGTGTGAGGCTGGGGGATTATGGCGTAAAAGGCTCCCTTTTCATCTATTTAGTTGTTTGCCAAAATCACGGAATGTCCACCTACCACAGCATTGACCACAATATTTTTATTAGTAAAAAGAAGGTTAGTGCTTACACAGTACTTGCCCTGTAGCAAGCATAATTCTTAAATAAGATAATTCTTAACTTGAGTTGCTATGATGGTCACCACCATCTCTACTACATAGTTGAGAAGACTGAGACCCAGAGGTTATTTAAAACTCAAATAGCAGAGCCAGTATTTGAATTTAGGCAGGCTGACACTAGAGTCCACACTCATAAATACTATCTCTCTTTGTCAATGTACACTTAGGCAAAGTCTGTGCATGTGTAATTTAGTTGGTAACAAAGATCTGGACTATGTAAAAATCTCCATCTGTAGTACAGCAGTAAGAAACATTTGGAATGAAATTACTATGATTTTAGCAGAAGTTGAGGGCGGTGTCAGCATCATGAATAATACTGTTGATGTTAAGAGAAATTCCCTACTAATTGAGACTCTAAGTAACCTAATGGTTATCAAGTTATTGGGAAGTCACTGGAAACATTTGATGTGTGTTCCTGTATCAAATCATGGCTCAACCAGGGGCATTGTTTAGTTGCAGCATATCAAACAAAAGGTCAGCAATAATTTATGAAAATGGACTAACGATTGGATGGTATTAGAAAATCATGAACTACTTGCATTAAAACTCACATATGAAAAAAACTCACATATGTATGCTTCTATTTAGTGAATACTGGGAATTAAATGTCTTAAATTTGTATGTTGATGACTTACAGGTTTTAAAATATTTTGCATGTCACCCTGGCTTTGCCTAATCAATTCTCCATTTCATTTCTTTGGGCTACACCTATCAGCTGGGGAAGATATAAGTTCTCGGACCGAGCTCTGGTGTGTCAAGCCATATCCCTTTTCTGCCTTTAGTTTGCTTCTTGACTGGCTCACACTTTTCCTTTGAGAGAGAAGGAGACAGATACCTGCTTTAGGTAGGAAGGGCTGGCCTGACCATGGAGCTGTTCCCAAGACTATGGTTGCTTCCTTCCACAATCCCAGGGAATGGAACTGTCATATCTTAAATTTTATTGGTTAAGATTCAGGTGAAGGCTGGAGTCTTTCTTCTGCACTTACTCCAGGATGATATATGGGAAAGAACAAGTAGAAAACCCAGTGATGAATTCTGAATTAGGCTGTGAGGAACCAACAGTTATCAGTCCCTATGGTTTCTAGGTACACTAAAGGAGAGGGAGCCATTTAGACACTTAAAGACAGAAGGAAAATACAAAGCTCTTCCACTCAGTATGTCAAAAGCAGCTCAGAAGTGTGTGGCAATCCAGGCAAAGCAATGCAACTTGTAGCCAGTCCAGTCATGATTCTCTGGCAAACTGCACAGTCACGGTTGTGATGTGTTGGGAGGAGAAGTACTATATAAATGTCAGATGTTACATAAATGTCAGGGATGATTACTGTTTGTTAACAGGGGCTAAACCGTTCCTAAGCAAAGCTCCAACTCCCAGCCAGCGTGTTCTCTGTAGAGGTTCTGGCCACCAATAACCCATAGGAAGGGAATACTCAGCCCGGGTACTCTAAAGGAGACGGGTTGGGATTTGGGGTTAAAACAGGAGTTGGGGTGGTCCCAGTGCTGCCCTTTCCGAGTGATCTCAGGCCAGCCCCCTGGCCTTCTGGAATCTGCCGTAGCTCACCTGTAAAATGGGGACAATGATAACACCTGCCCCACTTCTTACTGTACTTGGGTTATTGTGAGAAACAAAGGCCTCCGTGGTGGCAACCGTTTTGTGAAATGTGAGCGGCTGCCAGGATGGCCGTGGTTGTCTAGAATCAGGCTGGGATTCCTTTTGAGCCCCACTCACAGGGAGAACTTCTGAAAGGAAATTCAGCCTCAGCCGGGGGTGGTGACGGCACTGGTGACCGGCGGAAGGAGAAGATGCCAGGCTCCTCTCGCTGCAGACCAGGCACCAGGATCCTGGATTCGGGCCCTGGTTCTGTCGCTTCCCGGCCCGTGAGCCTGGGCCAGTCACCGAGAAGGCTCTGGAAGTGATAGCCAGGGGGCCCTTTCGGCTTTGACGCTGCGTCTAAATCTGGCTCATCACTTGGCTCTAACGGTGACTCACCTTTCGCCTTCGGAACAACTCTCCCTCCAGCTTCCCAGACGCATGGAGCCGGGGGTCTCGGAAAGGGTGGGGGCTGTGTGTTTCATGTGAGTGTGCACCCTAAGGAAGTTATTTCTCTGGAGAGGAGGAGAGGTGGGAAGTGAGAAGTAGGGGTGACAAGTGTGTGCTCTGAGAAGCCAGGATGCAGGGAACACTGTAATGAGGTCACGACTGTCGCAG